AGAGTTTAGTCTACGGCAGAACACTAACCGGTCTTTATTGCCCCCTTGTGGTTGAAAGTGGAACTGTTTTTATCTCTGCATTTATATTTAACACAAGGCTTCAGAATAACCTGTTTATTACAGCAATAAACTCAATTCAAACCAGTCATTCGACATCATGCAATTAAAGCAGCTGGATGAATGAATATTTTTTATTTTTTATTTTTAGCAATTCTTGTATCATGACGACCGAAGCTTAGATTCATAACCTTTTTAAACAAAAGCAGTCTCAAGTATAATCAGAAACAAAGAACAAATCAAATAAGCACTTCTCTTTCACATAGTTTTCTAATTTATCAGAACATAACCTTTTCTATAATATGGCAGTATATTTTTAAAATACCATAAACAAAATTAAAAGGCAAGAGCTATGGGAGGGCATTGCAGAAAACCAACAATGTGGATAAGATCAAAGGTTAATACCCACAATATAAAAAAAGATTTCCTTGGAATCAATAAGAAACAAAAAAGAATGTTCCCCAACCCCCATAAGGTCCATTCACTCAAGGAAAAATAAAAATGGCCAATAAATATATAAACAATTACTCTCAAAGAATTAAATAAATGTAAATGACAACATGAGATCGTGTTTTCACCCATTGGACTGCACATATGAAGTTAAAAAGGAAGATAATAGTCCATACGTTTGGGTGTTGGAAAGATAGTTCTCCTCTTATTCTACTGGTGTTGATGTCATTTGGGATAAGTTTCTAGAGGCCAATTTGCCAGTATACATTAAAATTAATAAAAAATTCATACTCTTTGACCTAGAAATTTTACTAGTAGGAAATAAACAGAGGTGAGAATTAAGATTGATATTAAGGAACTTCACTGCTGCTTTATTTTATGAAAAGAAGGCAGCTGTAAAACAACCTAAATGTCTAGCAATAAATGCTTTATTAAATGTTTAGCAATATGGGTAACTGTGGTAAACCCTTCAATACAATATTATGCAAACAGCAAATTACAGGACACACCCTTGGATATGTCGTTTCTAAGGCAGCCAGGAACAATGTAAGAGAAAAGAGATGATATGAGCCTGTTTCTTGCTTCCTCATGAATGCACCACAGGAAGGCATGATTTGTATTTTTACTCTAATCAATATAGCTAACGTTGAACTAAGAGCTATTTCTTTCATTAAGGCAGCATTTCCCAATTCTTTTTATCAATCAATTAACTAGAGGCTGCACAGCTTGGCAGGTCTGATTAAAATTCAGGAGCGCTATAGTGAGACCCATTACACATTTACCCATAGTTCATAGAGCACGAAAGGAACTGGCAGATTACTTAAAAATACACATGCTTGTACACACAAAACCCACCGTTTAAAAAGGCTTTTATATATAACTGAATCATCATTCTCTGTGTTTCCTTGGAGAAGGCAAAGAGATTTATGAAGACACAAAGATCACTGCAGCAGTTCCTATATGGCTACAGGTGACGACACCACATCTTGAGCTGTGAAGATACTTGTTTTCACTGGGAAAATATTAAGTAACTTCTTGCCCCCTTAAAAAAAAACCCTTTCACACATTATTACCACTACTATCACTAGCAGAATAAGAGATCCTTGCTCACCAGTTTTTGCAAGCATATCAGTAAGAGGGCATTTAATAATTTTTCTTTTATTTCGTAAACATGCGTAGCTTTTGTCATTATCCCTTCCTTCTCTTAAAGAGAAAGTAGTAAAGAATGAGAGTTCTTTTGGTGATGGAAACTTGAGGAAATTAAAGTGACCAGTTTGGAAAAATAAAACATTAGTGAATATCCCAAATCATGCACATTATAGTTTTATCAAAAGGTGTATGCTATGGTCTGAATGTTTGTGTCCCCCTCCCAAAATTCATAGGTTGAAATCCTAACCCCCAATGTTATGGTATTATAAGGAGATGGGGCCTTTGGAAGGTGATTAGGTCACAAGGGTGAATCCCTCATGAATGGGATTAGTGTCCTTATAAAAGAGGCCCAAGAGAAACCCCTTCCCCCTTCCACACAGCTAGAAGGTGCCATCTGGGAACCAGAAATCAGGACCTCACCAGATTCTGAATCTGAGGATACCTTGATTTTGGACTTCCTAGCCTCCAGAGCTGAGAAATAAATTTCTGTAGTTTATTGCCTACCAAGCTTATGGTATTTTGTTAAGGCAGGCCAAATGGACTAAGACAGTATATTACAGTTTATCTGCCCTAAAATCAAGTGTAAGAAAAACACTGCACTGTAGTAAATTTTACATTTCTACAGCAAGGACAGAAAAAAAGTGAAATGATTATCTAGATCACTGAGGAAAAATATTGCTGCAAGATCTACTTTGGGTCACTCAAATGAAACCAGAGATGTCCATCCCACCTCCCAGCTTGAAATTACTCGAATCGATACCTCAATTTTCCAGTGTGTTTTAAAAATACAGTTACAAGATGGAAGACAAATTATGTATTCCACACCTTCCTCTTTCTGGAAGGACTATCGCCAAATCATTTCCAAAAAATGAGACCATACTGTTTCTTAAGACATCATGAGGAGATTTCCCACTGGGTTATGAATCAGGCAGAAAAACAGCAAGGACAGGAAGTTAGTATTCTGTTTTTACAATATCAGTTATTGGCCCCGGCGCATTGGCTCACACCTGTCATCCCAGCACTTTGGAGGGCCAGGTGGGTGGATCACTTGAGGCCAGGAGTTTGAGACCAGCCTGGCCAACATGGTGAAACCCTGTCTCTACAACAAACACAAAAATTAGCCAGGTGTGGTGGTGGGCGCCTGTAATCCCAGCTATTAGGGAGACTGAAGCATGAGACTTGCTTGAGCCCGGGAGGCCGAGGTTGCAGTGAGCTGAGATCAGGCCACTGCACTCCAGCCTGGGTGACAGAGAGAGACCCCATCTCAAAAAAAAAAAAAAAAAAAAAAAAAAAGTCAGTTATGAATGAGCAAATCCTTATTAAGTGGCTTATAAATCTATGACTTTCTATATTCTAAAAGTTGCATCATTATAGACTAGTCAAAATGATTTGGGGTGCTGCATTTGAAGCATGGTCTGATAATGTGTTAAATTACAATCCTCAGAGATGGAAATGGTACATGTGGAAAAAAAAATCTGTTTCCCAACAAATTGCCCACCCCCAATTTCGACTGCCCAAAGTTGCAACAGGCAAAAGTAGACAGAGAAGAGAAGAGAGTGAAATCTGTGGCAGATGGAACCAATGTAATGAAACTATATACGCTGTGGAAAGACTTGTGTCCAATTTAAAAACTGCCATTATGTATATTCAAGTCATTGGGTGCTAATATATTTTTAAAATCCAATATGTGAGAGGCAAGAGAACAGAATATTTAACAAAATTATTCTTTGCTTTTCTTATTTGTTTCACCTATATTTTCATGTTTTCCTAAGGTCTGGACAATTCACCAGTCAGGAAAATAAAGGGAATATGTCTACTCTGTTTATATTTTGCGACGGTTTAACATTTATTTTTTTTTATGTAACATTGTTTATTAAAATTTTTTTCCTTTTATTTGTATAAATTTAGGCGGCACAAGTGCAGTTTTGTTACATGGATATATTGCAGATTGAAATCTGGGCTTTTAGTGTACCCATCACCAGAATAGTGTACATTGTATCCATTAAGTAATGGTTTTAAATTATAATAAAGAAAAAAAGTGGAAAGTTAAGATTCAATTTCCAGTCCCAATATATATCATGCATTAGAAAGTGGTTGAGCCCATGAGTTTGAGGATGCTATGAGCCATGATTGTGTCACTACACTCCAGCCTGAGCAATGGAGAGACCTTGTCTCTAATAACTAAATAAATAGAAAGAAAGTGGTATAAAATAAAAAGGACCTCCCTGCCCCAATCTTTAGAGTTTGCTTCACAATCAGTATAGCAGTATCTGATCACTAGGTAGTGGCTGCTTGGAGTACCACATGAAACATGATCCAGAGGCCACATCCAGTGCAGCCTGAAAGAGTGACTTGATTAATAAGTACTGTCCACCACACCCACCCATTGCTCAAAAAGACAAAGGGAGGGAAGAAGCACAAACATTGTGTGTTGGTTATTCAAAATGCACTTTTTATTCACTTTAACACAGATGATTTTTTACAGTCGAAAGAAAATATTGGTACACAATTTTGAGATTCTTTTTTAGCAGCACCTGCAACAAGAGGATTGTGGAATACCTCAGAATAAAGTAGAGATGGCTGGGGCAGGCACAAATTAACCTGATATTCATCAATCCACTGAAGACACACGGAATCTGAGGCCCCTGAAAGTTAGCCAATACATGACAATAAACTAAATAAATATTCTGTATGATGTTTTAACAGACCATTGAAAAAAAGTATAGTCCTAATTAGAAATATATTATTCCAAAAATCTAGTGTTCTTAAAAAAACACCTATTGAAAATATTACACTGCACATTCTAGGGTACACAGTCAATTTCTAAACCTATATGCACAGTTCTTGGTACTCACAGATTTCAGCCTTTGGTGTTTTTTAATCTTACCCAAACTATATGTCAGCACCCCACTGAGTGTTGCTTACCCAAATGCCACTGTTTATGTCACTTAATGTTGAATGCTTTCATTAAGATATTGAGTGGTAATTTGGCAGAAAACAATGGTATGGCTAAGAGGAAAGGGGCTCCAGTTGATAGACCAATAAGATTAACACTTGTCTTAGATGGACCCATGTAATTTTTTTTTTTAACTCAAATGACCACATGCCACTCTAACAGAGACAAGTACTTTTGTGAGTTGATGGAGGTCTTTATGATGAAGACCTGAGATCTACAAATAGAAACTAGTATAAGCAGAGTGCAAGTAGAAAGAGAAGGCCCCAGGTCTCATGCACTTGAAAATAATTAGCATTTAACAGTTCTGACGTACAGATTTTCACCCTAACATGATTGTAGCAAAATGATCATAGAACTTGGAAACCAGTGTGGCTGGCTATAGGCATAGGCAGGATAGGGACCAGTACTTAAGAGCTGTGGGGCCCCAGTTCTGGCTTTGACTTCTGGCATCAAAGTTAATTGAACAATGGGGTAAGGATTATATCTTAATTGGAAATATTGAGTATGACTGGGTTGAAATACTGTCCTCTTTTTTCTATTTTGCCAATATGTCCCAGAGCTCTTAAAGCACAAAGGTCCTACATGTAAGTAAGGCTGATTCCATATGTGGCTACAATGGAGAGTTCTAGGCTGTATTCCTATGAAAGCTCCCACCCCCTTCCTGGCCTAGGTCTCTTTTTGGGGTAATTTCTGTCTGTCACTATTTTTTATCATAGATGTTTTAAAGTACAGATTAAAATCTATGCAGGATAAACAGATCAACCAAGAAGAACCACACTGCATATTCATAATACAGTATATAACTGGCAGTCATGGTAATCAAAAATTGTCAAACCATTTTTATATTTAACATGGGAGCTTTAAGATGTTTTTTATCAGTGCACATAAAGATTACTCAGAGCTCAAGAATTTTTCCTGCCACAGTGCAAAAGCAAAAGGAAGAGCTATGTAGTTGCTGTTAAAGATTGATCATAGAATGGTTTGAGAATTTTAAAAGTCCCTCTCCATAGTCTTAGCTGTTATCATCAGATAAATCTAACCACAGCATGGCACTGATGTAATTTATAGATTCATAGAACTTAGAGCCAGAAAGGACTTTATACGGAACATGTAGCCAGTACAGAAAATCTTTTTATGGTATTCTAACAGATGGTCATCCAGTGAATATTTTCAGAGGCAGGGAGCTCATTATTAAGGCAGTCCATTCCACTGTTGGACAACTCTGATTATGGGAAATTCATTCTAACACTGGGTTAAAATCTGCTCTTCTGTCACTTTCAATGTCCTAATTAGGCTAGTTTAACATACAGTGCAACATATAAGAAACCAGTTCCTTCTTCTACAATAAATATTTGAGTTAAGGAGCCCTGTGAGAAAAGTTCATTATCCCCCAATCTTTTCTGAAGCCTTCTCCATGAGCCCAGCATGTTGGATCGAAGGACCATCTAAATTATGAGCAGAGAGCACTGCATCCAATTTCATATACTAAGCAGCATTGCTAAATTGGTAAGAGGTTGTCAGAGAAGCAACATCTCTATGCAGCAAAAGTAGACTTAGGAAGGAAAAGCAGACCAACCATTTATTTGCAAAGGTGGTTGGCATATTTAAGCATAATCCATTCATTAGTATCCTATGACTTCAAACACAAGAAGTATAATCAATTGCCAGGGTCATTAGAGTATCTCTTACTGAGATGGTATTTTTTGAAAAGCTCAGATGGGAGCAAACCATACATAAGGATTTAAACAAGTCAGTGTATATCATTATACTTTTGCACTCCTAATCATTACAACTTCTTTATAGTTCAAGCCTAGGAATCCTTATTTGCATTATTATTTTTATTGTAATACAGCTCAAAGTCTGATTTTTTCCCCTTTGGCAGAAATGTCAGAAACTGCTTGGCAAGAGTCTGATAGTGACATTTGTTAGTTGATTAATGGAACACTTTAAGAAATAGTTGTAGCTCTTTAACTCCTTCATGCAGCTGGGTTCTAGGTCTAAACTGTGATTTAAAAAATATTTAACTGTCTCAGGACTAAAACTTTCTGATACGTCCTGAGACACACATGAAGGGGAAATAGCAGAAATTACACAAAATACACTTGGCTTGATAGAGCTTTTTCTTTCTTTCTTTTCTTTCTTTTTTTTTTTTTTTATAGATCTACACTTCAATTTGAAAGGCTCTGTTTCACAATCAGAACCTTGTCTCTTACCCTCTTGTGTGTGTGTGTGTGTGTGCACTCTTAGAGGGGCACAGTTATTCTTACACTACTGACTGACCAATTTGGGGCACATTTTTGAAAGGCTCCCTATCTTTAACAGCACGAAGACCCTGCTTTGGAGCCACTGTTCAAGTCAATGGTGTGACCCAACATGCAATGCTCCAGCTGTTCCTCTACAGCCAACACCTGCCTGACAGCTTCTTCAAAGGCCACTGTCACATTAGTATCATCTTTGGCACTAGTTTCTAAATAAGGGTAATCCCCATTCTCCATGCACCAGGCTTGCGCCTCCTCAGTAGTCACTTGCCTATCCTCTTTGTCTACCTTGTTACCCAGAACTACAAAGGGGAAATGCTCAGGGTCCTTCACATCTGCATAGTAAATAAATTCTTTTTGCCAGTTACCAAGATTCTCGAAGCTCTGCCGATCATCCACGCTGAAGGTCAAGAGGCAGCAGTCTGCTCCCCTGTAGAAGGGTGTCCTAAGGCTCTTGAAACGTTCCTGCCCTGCAGTGTCCCAGATCTGGAGGGTTACAAAGCGTCCATCTACCTCCAGATCTCGATTTAAGAACTCTACCCCTATGGTGTGAAAAGCCTGGGAGTCAAATTTGTTGGTTACATAACGGTTCATAAGCGAACTTTTCCCAACTCCACCATCACCCAAGAGAATGACCTTTAAGAGCAGGGATTTCCCACTCATTTTTGCAGCACCAGAAGGGAAGGAGTTTGTAACCAAGAGAACCTGAAAATAAAAGGAAAAGTAGGAGGGAAACAGTTAAACCTGAAACTGAAATCAACTTCATAGCAAATTTCTCTGAATTATGAGGCCTTCTCATTCAACTTCTCTTGATTTATGCTCATTATTGATGTAGTACAGCAGAAGAAATAAAACTAATTTTGCATAAGGGGAAAAATAGGTCTTGTTTTTCTGAGGTCTTTTGTCGTGCCAGGAAAATGGCTAAGTGCCATGGGTAAATGGACTAGCAGATGGTTCTGTAATTTGGTTCAGTTCTGACCCTATTCTAGGAGAGGAAGCCTAGAACAGGAATGCCACTCAAATGTGTGACAACTTTAGCTTCCGGTTTGGACAGTTCCAAACAATAGGCAAATGGGATGAAATTGACTTGGGGGTTGAAGTCTGCTCCTGATGGATACAAGAATTACTGAGAAGAGAAAGCTACATAAACTGGATTCTTGATTCTGTTGGTAGAGGTCTGGGCCAGAATTAGACTGGACCCCAGAATTTGAAAGAGAGAACAAGGTTTCATTTCTTCAGGCATTTACCCCATTATACTTGCATTGATAGGAACACCCTCTCAAGTAATTTTTTTCTTCATGGAACAATGGCATTTAAGTTGATGATAATTGATTGATATCAATATAACAGCTGTCATGAAGGAAGGAAATCTTGAATAGCTTATTAGTTTTTGGATTTAGGTTTTAATTCTATAATAGCAACACTTGAAAACATACTGTAAAATTTAAAGTGCTAATGTTTATACAGTAACCTACTTGTTACCTCCACAACATGTCTACATATGGAATACCTACAATGTATCTTAAAATAAAAAGATCAAATGCTTACTGAATGAATACTACCTTTTCCTATATTCTGTTAGGTACTTTCACACTAGACCTATTGTGGGAACTCAACAGTGATGAAGTTAATTGGATGATATTTATACAATAGACCCAAAGGGATGAAAACGAACCACCAATCAAAGGAGTGCATGCAAAACAGTTTCTGGAAGCACACATATTTGAATATAATTTTACAAAATTTAGTTTCCCTTAAAACGATTTTGGAATGCCTGTGTACTAACTATATATTTTTCTAATATTCATTTTTAAGAGATCAAATATTAAAATATCCCAAATCCACAGTGTGCCCCCTTGAAATACCTACCCAGTGGGTTTTTGTCACAATTTAAATATTTTCCTTTTTTTCCTGTTGTTGTTTTATTCTTTCTTTTTAGGGTGCTATAAAACAGAATAGAAAACATTATTTTAAAAAATCTATAATAAAATAATGTTAAGTCTATATATAAAAATACATTCAAGTCAGAAAAAAAGAACCCACAGCAACCTGAGGTAACCTATAGAGGGTGCTTTTCAAAAATAAAAGTTCAAAATACTACCTAGGCTTAACATAAGCAAAATAATTTTATTCCAAGAACTTTAACTTGTCCTAATTTGTAATTTATATAATTTTTTTACTTTTTATATTGTCTCTCAATTGAATTCTCCATTCAAAGTAAAAGCAAATTAAAGAAAGTATACGATATTCACAATAGATGACATTCAGGAAAAGGAAAGTACAGAGCAATCTAAGATATGTTTAAATCCTAAGTCAGAGATGAAACTTCTTCCTTTTATACCTACCAACGTTCCCATCTCCAAGAAAGTTGTTAGTGCACTCACCAGTCTGTCTCAAGGTTGTCTCTGCAATTGATTCCACATAATTAGAGAGCAGAAAAAAGTGTTTGTGGGCTTCCTGTTTACAATAAAGTATATTATCTTGGCTAATTATTTTATTAATTAGTTTAGGTCATTTCTCTTTTATTTATTATTTTTTAAAATTTGAGACAGGGTCTCATTCTGTCGCCCAGGCTGGAGTGCAGTGGTACAATCATGGCTCACTGCAGCCTTGACCTCCTGGGCTCAAGTAATCTTCCCACCTCAGCCTTCCGAGTAGCTGGGACTACGGGCGCGCACCACCATGCCTGGCTAAGTTTTGTATTTTTTGTAGAGATGGAGTTTCAACATGTTACCCAGGTTGTTCTCAAACTTCTGGGCTCAAATGATCTGCCAGCCTCATGTTCCCAAAGTGCTGGGATCACAGGCGTGAGCCGCTGCACCCGGTAGGTCATCTGTCTTAAACACCAGTTTTAATATTTAGCTAGTGTTACTGAATTTAAATATACATTCATTTAGTATTATAACATTATGGCAAGAGTCTTATTTAAGCAGCATCAAGAGTACTAGTCTAAGAAGAAAAACAGTGCCTAGATCTGTGTAGTGTTATTTCTTACTGAGGAAGAACGAAGCTTTAAAAAAAAAAAAAGAAACTGCTGCTTAATAATCTCATGTTATTTTCTAAATACAGATAAAACTTATAATAAGGATTCATTAGATATCTAAATCAGTAATTATGAATTTAAATAATATCTCCTAAATGGATAGGCTTTATACTCCTTCTCGGTTTATATACATTCTACAGAATTCTCAAGTTTCCTACAATTCCTGATTGTTGTTCTCTTTTTCCTGCTCCCAAATTGCTGTCTTTGGAATTAGCTCAAGTAACAAACATTTCTTTAAATGGAGATGAAACAAGTGTTAGCACACTTTTTATTTTTTTATACCGGTCTGTAGGATAATTTTACAGAGCAGAACTCTTGAACTCTCATTTTAAAAAGTAACAGAAGTACAAACTTGGGCATGATTCTGATGGCATTAAGCATCCGTGCCACATGAGCTTCCTTAAGTTCCTAGCAAACAGGTGTTCACATCATTAAAAGACTCACTGACCCTATTCTCTCAGTTGCAGATAAACTCAATAGACAGGTCAAGGACTGAGTGAATATGGAAACCAAATGCTCAGCTCCAGGAATAATGATGATGTATTAATAACTGTCTGAGATAATGCTGCAGTTGCTTGTGCATTCCCTATTTGGTTATGTGCACACATAACTTCTGGGCCTATAGGCTCTATGCCAAGGAAAAAAGAGGAAAAGCAATGTGGTTCAGTGTCAAGAGCACTGAGCTAGCTGGCAGCAATCAGGACGCCAGGGTCTTCCTCACTGTTACACCATTCATTTATTTCATGAACTTGGGCAGGTCATTTAATCTTTCTGTTTCAGTATCTTACATAAAAATAGAGCAGATACTACCTGCCCTACTTAACAGGATTTGGGGGAGAATGAAAAGTTATGAAGTTTGCAAAAATTTGTAAGCATGTTTTGAAAAATTTGGTTTGAGATTTTTATTCCTCTGGCTCCTCCACATCCTTTCATGCACTGGTGCGGGCCTTATGGCTCTGTATTAACCCTTCTCAGAAAGGGCCTGCTAGTGAAAGTATAAGAATTCTTCCTTTTCTCTTTCTTCCATATTTGAGAATGCCTTGTTTCTCAACAAGCTTGAACATCCGCATATGGCACAGAGTCTCAGCATTGAAAGGACCTTCAGGGTCTTCTGGTCCAATCTTGCTACTGATATTTGAGAAAACACTATAGTGCCTATTGTGTGTTGTGTCCTTACTAAGGAAACCCTCCACTTTCCTCTACTGTCTCCAATTCCCATTTATTTGCTAGAAGGAAAAATGAATACAGTTTAGATTTGTCTCTTTGCCTTCATTCAATCCTGCTGATTTTCCCTTGAGGTATCATTTTTCTAGTCCTGTGCTACCATCCTCATTTTGGCCCACACCTTCTCACATCTAATCTATTGTGAAAGTTCTCTCCCTGCTTCTGGTTTCTTCCCACCCAATCTACTTTGCAAAGCTTCATCACTCAAACATCCACTGGGCGTAGATACCTTTGAGAATTAATAAATATTTAAGGCAAGGTCTTGCCCTCAGGGAGTTTACAAATTAACATGCAAGCTCAGGATCTCATTGTTTACAGTTGAAATAATATCATTATACTGCCTTATTTTGTTAACAAACTGTTCCTGTCTTTCTTACATGATCAATTTTAAATTCCTGGATAGTAAGCTCACTGTTTGTTTACATCTTTGAAGCCCCTTCAGTGTGCAGCACCAGGATCCTCCACGGAGATAATAAATATTTGTTTACCAATTAACTGATTAGGTAGGTCCCCAGAATCAATGCCTCTGAATTGATACCAAGGTACAATAGATCCATAGTTCTGTAAGATGTCCAAATACTATCATTTATAAGGTGACTAAAGAGCAGAAGTTATGAACTTGACTCGATCATTTTCTGGATGGGACGTAATGGGAATTCCACCTGTTGAAAGTCAAGGGAAATGCTCGAGTTTTCCTCCCCTTACTCATACATTTAAAAATAAGTATATACATTTCCCCATTCCTACCAAAAACAAGAGCAGAATAATGATCTCCACTTGATGTTGTCGGTGGGCGCTAGCATCTCCACAATCATTCATCATTGTTTGAAAATGAATGTGATGTCCTTTAGTACGTACTTAAATTAAAAAGAACTAGCACAGTATAAAAGTAAATGAAATCATTTTTTCCTCCCCCAGAATATGCCAGATTTAATCCAAACCTTTAAACAAGGTAGCATTAAGCAGGCAAATGAATTCTTTGATAACACTAAATATGTAAATAGGAAAGTCAAATGCCTTATGCATCCCTTATGGGTCCTCTATCGGGCAAGCATTTGGACAAAAATGCTTATTCTGATTTTGATCCCATTCAGAGAAAGATCTGGCTCTAACTGAGTCAAATATTAGAGAGATGCAATTGCCCTTTCCTACCCCCACAAACTCATTAATGAGCATGCTCTAAGGATAGTTTATTGACTTTTTTTTTTTTTTTTTTTCCCATCAGGGTCTCAGTCTTGGACAGAAAGGTGAATTAGGAATTTCTGTAACCAATACTCCCCAGCTCTTTGTTCTTTAACACACTTGAAACCTTCTGAATCTGCAGTGCCTGCATCCACAAAGCCTTATTTAAATTATTGTATTTAGTTGGGAATGCTTAGAGGTGGGGGTGGAGGTGGGGGAGGAGGCAGTACAATGAAGAAAAAGAAGTTGAACCTTTGAAAATAGTACATTTTAGTATGATAATGGAGAGAAGAGAGGCAGAAAAGCAAATTGGCATCAGTTCAGTTGCCATAGAGTGGAATGATGCTCAAAATCAGTAGTGCAGATTGCTCGGAGGCCAGTCTTGAAAGGCATGGGTACTGCAGGGCTCGGTAAGGGAATAGCAACTGGGGAGGGCTAGGCACTGGATGAGAGTGGCACTGTTGGAAGTCTGTACAGGGGAGGAACCATGGTTGGACCTGTGGGGAAAGCCCATCTTGTGGCGACACACTGGTAAGGATTACTCAACTCACTGTTGAATACTGGTACAATAATTGGAAATACTGCACTGAAGAATTGGGCGCAGCTATCTTTATGTAAAATTCAACACGGATGAGAAATGATCGAATGTTTGAGTGTGTTTCCAATACAACCCAATACTTGGCGTTGGTGGTGGTGGTGGGTGCTTCGTAGCGGGGAAGCCCTCTGACGCACTGGATTCATTTTGCAGAGCTGACAAGTTATCAGCTACATCCATGCCGACTCCAAATGCCACAGCTGTCATGCCACTGAAACGCTATTCCTACATTCATGCCCACATTTATATTCTATATGCAACTCAAAGGGTCCAATGTGGAATTTCACGTCTAACCTTTCACTCCTCACAACGACAGCTCTAGGGCTATAAGCCCAAAGGCACACTAGATAGCAATTTAGCATCGTCCCCAGGCCACGTCTTCCCCAGTAGACTGCCCAGGGACAAATAGGTAGATAAGGTTTGGATGACATCAAGCGAGCTGAACACAAGGAAAAGAAGCTTCCTTAGGAGACGAGAATGCTGGCATCTCTACGACAGGGGCACTGTTAGCATGACGGACCTAGAAAGTGAGATGTCACACATAGTCCCAACTACCTCCGACCCAGGTCCTCTCACCTCACCCCCAGCTCTTAGACAGAGTCGGCTGTGGCGCATGCGCACTGAGCCACACCCGCTCCCCACGGAGCCCTGCGCCTCTCTGCCCGGCTCTGGCAGCAGCTCGGGATTACTCAGCAACGCCCCCCTGCACTGTCACCTGCCCCCAACTCCGACCTCGGGAGCGGCTCAGTCCCTTTTCCCAAGCTATGAGTGGTCATCGGGATCAACTACACTTTCCTTTCTCCCTCTTCTCACAGGCCCCCCACCTCCCGGCCTTCCGGGTCCTCCAGCCCCTAGCCCCTGTTCCTGCCCACGCACAGGCACCTTACCCAACACAATGGGAAGGAAACAGTAGAGGGCCGCGGGTGCCAGGTAGGTCAGCTCTGCGTGCCGGGAGTCCGGCTTCTTAGTGTCACCGTCACTGCTCCTGCTGCCTCCTCGTTCTCAATGGGGCAGCAAGTGCGGCTTGGACCTCGGTGGCCTGACAGCTGCAGCTCGCGCCCGCTGCTGCCGCCGCGCAGCGTCTCGCGCCCGCGCCCGCGCCCGCCAGGGGGAGGGGGCGGGGCCCGCGCCGCCTCCTCGTGCCCCTTTCTTGGCGCTGGGGACCCAGTGTAGCTGCCTCCCGCCCTCCGTGTGGCAAGCGCTCCCTGGCTCGCCCACTCTTCTTTCATGCTCATCGTCCAACCCTGGTCTCCCTTGTCCTCCTTCTCCTCCCCTAGCCGATTACTAGGCGCAGTGGCAACAGACCGTCAAATATTGCTCTCCCACTTAGCTCCTCTGCAGCCTGGGGCCTAAGCCCTCAAGCAGGGGTAGCCACTGCCCCACTTACTGCAATTACCCTCTGATCTACCTCATTTATCCTAGCTCAAAATCCTTTAATTTTGCCAAGAGGGTAGTACATACACCCTCTTGTTTCAAATAACTCAGGAAAACACATGATCACAACACATTGCTAGGCCCTCTAGCTGGCTACTGCTCATGAAATTCTCAGGCCATTAAAAAAAATGTCTACATCTGTAGAGCAGACATAGAGGACACACTGCCCTTTACTCTTACCAGGTAGGGTTCTAGAGGGCCACACAGGGAGCATTACTTGAAGTTCCCGGAATTGCTGCTGGGGCAGAATTCGATGTTTTAATTGTGCCTAGCCGACCAGCTAGTCTCTTCTTGTTGTTTTCTGTAGCCCTCTGGTACCTCCAACTAGTTTGTGATTTTTTTCCCCCTGGAATTGAAGAAGGACAAAGCTTCTGAGGTCATTTAGCCTGCACTCCACCTCTCTGTCAGGCAGATCCATCTCTGAAGCTTCCCTATTTTCTGAAATCCTGTGCCCTTGTGGCACAGGCCCTCACTCATCTCATGACCCCTGCAGGCCCTCACACATACCCACTACTTCCATCTAGGCCACTTTTCCTCTATCTCTTGACAAGGCAATCGTGCGATCAATCTCCGCAGGCCCCAGCTTAAATGTCACTTCTCAGGATAACCTTTCTCGATAATCCCAGAATAGAGATGATGCCCCAGTTTATACTCTTGTAGCCTCCTGTAACTTGCTGTGTTTTTCCTTCATAACACTTACCTATTTTTGGTGGTACATTTAAGTGTATGATTATTTGGTTGATGGCTGTCATCCCTACTAAACTATAGTGGGGAAGGACTATGAGGTCAAGGACAACGTTTATGTTCACCCCCGTATGCACAGAGCCTAGGGCAATGCTTGCTGCATAGGACATGCTCAGAAAATATTTGCTGAATATGAATGAATGCTGTATCACTAATAATGGTTATATTTAAATAAAATAAATGGATGTAGCTGAATCTCGCGTGCTCCTATTTAAACCAATCCCGTTTCCTAACATACACTCTAAAACACTCTTCTGATGAAGAAGAGATTCACACAATCCTCTAAATCAATTTTTCCGCATACATTTTAGTCTATTAAAAAACTATTGAGCATGGGCCCCAATATATGTATATGGATTTATAGATTATATACATGTACTACCGTACATGTATACATTACACATTACTTTAAACATACATTTTAATGAATAAACATTAAAATACTCCAGCACAGAAAATTTAAAAGAATGAGAAAAATAAATATATTGATGTTCCAATGTTTTCTTTTTGCACCTCAATAAATAGTTTTGTGAAATGCTTTAAATAACAATCCTTCATATTAGAGTAACTCGTCTTTAGATGTAACAATCTAGACTACTTTTTCATTTTCTCATAGATGCCATTTTCCAACAGTTTAATCATCTCTGAGAAACCCCCAAACCTACTGGCAAGTTTTAAGGATCTTTTAGTTTCCAAGCTACCTCGTTCTGTAGTCAGGATCTCACAACCGCTGAAAGCACCACACATTTAGTGAATGTTGGAACACCTAAGGGTGAGAAAAATCCTTTGTTAGACCAAAGATTACTACACAGAAATCCTATATTAAAAGAGTCTCTAGAGGCCACTTAAAAAGCAACTACTATTGTCTGCCTAGAATGGAAGCAACATGACTAACACTAGTTGTGAGGGATCAGCACAAAATGGACAGCACAAAGATTCAAAGTAACAGCTGTGGATGGTTTTGTGGCTCTCAGATATTCCCAATGGTCAATCATTGAGACCTGTCAAATAGCGTCCTCCACACATAATAAAAAATTCTATTTTTATAACACAGTTATACACACACACACAAAATAGAATTATAGTGTAGTCAGTAGATAGAAGGCCAAACCAAGATTGCGTTTGGAAACCAGAGATAGAGTTACCTTCAGAGTCTCTCTCTCTCTCTCTCTCTCTCTCACACACACACACACACACACACACACACACGCTTTTCAACATTCAATGAACAAGATCTCCCAAAGTCTCATCCTGATCAGTTTGAAATAGATTGACCTGAGCTTCAGGAGTACATAATTGTAATGTGATTAATTTAAAAGTACAGCTTCGTCCAGCATTCACAAGTTGTTACGTACAAAAGGGTTCCGTGAAGCATTCAAATAAGTGTATAAACACTGCATACTATTTCCCTTCCAGAAGAGTCACGTTGCATATTAAAACATTAATGTCTCTTGGAGTCCTGAAGTAAAGAAATCTGTTGTGTTGTTTTTCAATTCTACATTTCCAAAACTTTTGTGAACATGAATTTCTTTTGTTTATGGAACATCTATTAGCAGGACTAGAACAGCTCAGGACCCAATTTAGCAACTGCTGTCCTAATCATTAATATTGAACATGTTCATAGGCCAAAGTATTTGTCATCTTTGGCCTAGAATATTTATGTGGCAACTATACAGGTTATATTTTCCAGATAGTCCTGATTTCAAATACTTTGTCCTATTGTCCTCATTTTTACAACAATACTCATGAGATCATCTAATGTTTTATTCAGAAATTATGGCAGCAATAGGTATGTAAAAAGGAAATTAGACAGTAAGAATTTGTCAACTATTTACCTATCATTGTCCAAGAGCAAGTCACAGTTTCTGGTGATACAATATTTTTTTAAAAAAATCATTTGACACAGGGATACTCTTATGGAATAGGAATACTTTGCCAGATTTTTCATAGCCTGAAGGAAAGACCTCTTAAGATTATCCAATTATGGAAGGCATCAGAATGAACTCAGTTTTGTCATTTAAAAAACATTTTTAAGCTCTGTCCACTAAAAATACTTAGAAACAATGAACATCTCAGTGCCCAAATTCACCTGTAGTGCCCATAGGATGGTTCTAAATGCTATTTCCTAATAAAAGGACCCAGGATTACTTAAATAAATGGCTGACTTCAGATATGTGGCAAGAAATGTCCAAGATGAACATAAAATCTCTTGTCACACCAGATAGCAAGGAAGCTAAAAACACTATTAGAGTTGAGTCAAAAGGACTTGAAGAGACTGTCATCAGTCAGACATGGGGCAATTTGAGCATCAGTAAAGATAATAACTACAATGGATTGAAATATAACAAATATGCTGTAATCCCAGCACTTTGGGAGGCCGAGACGGGCGGATCACTGGATCAGGAGATCGAGACTATCCTGGCTAACACAGTGAAACTCCGTCTCTACTAAAAAATACAAAAAAACTAGCCGGGCGAGGTGGCGGGCGCCTATAGCCCCAGCTACTCGGGAGGCTGAGGCAGGAGAATGGCGTGAACCCGGGAGGCGGAGCTTGCAGTGAGCTGAGATCCGGCCACTGCACTCCAGCCTGGGGGACAGAGCGAGACTCCGTCTCAAAAAAAAAAAAAAAAAAAAAAAAAAAAGAAATATAACAAATATGTTTAAATATACAAATTCATAAAAACACTTAAAAACATAATTGCTCAATTTGGCCAAACCTAGAAAGCCAGCTCATTATTTTAAAACTGGTAAATAAAGAGAATGACTCGAACATTTAACCTGCTTTTTTTTTAATACAAACTTTTCCTTGGTGTAATGAAGGAGTTGGCGAGGAAAGTGTTTTAAAAAGATTTCCAGCTAATAAATTACGAAGGAATGATAAAATTACAACCTTTAATGAATTAGTGGATCTAGGTAATAATAATTAATGTCTTCTAACATTACAAAAAGAGTATTAACCATATATCATAAGCCTGTTGATGGAAAAACATAGCAGCACATAGAAAGCATTTTTTTGTCAAAAAATGCAATTTGAACCCTGTCAAGCTCCTAGATATAACTGTGAATTTTTAGAAAAATACAAGGAAAAATATGTTAACATTGTAGTGATGTAAGTAACAACATCCAGACTTAGGTTTAGAGTGCAGGTGTGTGTGTGTGTGTCTGTGTGTTGAGGGGGAGAAACTCTGCAGAAAAACAACATGGTTTCTTCAACAAATACATTTTAAGAGAGAATCCAAAAATAAAAGTTCAAAAGAATGCATTTACAATGACATCAAAGAGAATGAAATATTTAGAAGTAAATTTTAAAAAAGAAGTGCAAAATAAAAACAAGTGCAAAAGTAACACTCTTAAAAACACAAAACTTTGTTGAAAGAAATTAAAAAAGATCTAAATAAATGGAAAGATATCACATGTTTGTGGATTGAAAGACAATATTTATAAGGTGGAAATACTCTTCAAATTGATCTACAGATTCAACGCAATTCCTATCAGAACCCCAGCTGGCTTCTTTGTAGAAATTTCCAAGCTGATCCTAATATTCTTATGGAAACTTAAGGAACCCAGAATAGCCAACACAATCCTGCAAGAGAACAAAGTTTTAGGACTCAGGCTTTTCAATTTCAAAACTTACTACAAAGCTACAGTTACCAAAATAGTGTGGTACTGGCATAACGCTAACGTGTAGATCAGTAGAATGGAATCGAGAATCCATAAATGAACACATGTGTCTATGGTCAATTGATTTTCAATAAAGCTGCCAAGGCCATTTAATGGGGAAAGAATAGACTTTTTTCAACAAAGTGTGCTGGAATAACAGGATAGCCACATGGAGAAGAATGAAGTTGGACCCTCACCTCACAGCATATACAAAATTAACTAAAAATGGATTATACTATAAAATTGTTAGAAGACAGCAGTAGTAAGTCTGG